ATGGGCAGAGAGCCTCTTCAGCGTGGTAGTGTGACAGAAAATTGGACAGGCAATGAAACGTAGGTGTGCAAAGCAGGGTGTAAGAGCAGGAGGAGCTGGCTTACATACCTCAGGAGTGTGTGCTCACACTCACCACGAGGGTAAAGAAGCATGACTAACACCGTTGTAATCAGCTGGTTATTAGTAATAGAAAGAAGCAAAGGGAAGACCAGACATTATAAGCATCCAATCTGGGCAGCTTCACCAGGAAGCTGTAACTTCACTCTCCCAGGAACACCAGCCCTTTCCCTGCAGAGTCAAGGTGCAGGGGTTGGGGGTGGGGGTGTCCAACAAAGGGGCCTAGGGAAGGTATTTGTCTGTCAGTCAAGCCTGGGGAACCAGGGATTAGCCAGAATGGGTGGAGCCAATGCATAATCCCCTAAACAAAGGAATTAGCTCTCTTGGCTCTTGGGTCTTGGGGCTCTTGTACCTGCTTTCTTGTAGTCATCCATCTGGCCCACAGCCGTGCGGATCCCACACACAATGGACTGATGGGCTGCAGCTGGGAACACAGCTGAGCTGACCTGATGCCCGGCTGGACCCTGGCTCTGATGTCAGCCCTGCGAAAGGCAAAGGGGGCCCTCTTCCCCGGCAGGACTGAGGGAAGGAAACCTGGGAAGCTCAGGGGTTTGAGTCCACAGAAATAAGGCTTTCTACCAGCTCTCATCCTCCCAGGAGAGTTTCAAAGTTCTTTTTCTTGGGTTATTGCAAGAAACCCACCCCCGTGAGCAGCAGCTGGGAGCGAGGACCTCTCCTCCGTTAACATCCCCACCCAATAGATTCCTCTTGTTTTTCTCATGGATCTGGGGAAGGAGGGTGAAGAAGGGGCTGCCATTCTTTCTTCCCACATCACCTCCGTTTTCCTGACCAGGGCTGCAACTATAGGCTGGAGGTGGGAGTAATTCCTAACAGAAACGGTCACTGTGTTTTGGAGCTTTATGTCACAGTACTGACGGGCCTTATGGGCAGGATGTGTCTTTACCTAATCTGGCAAATGGGGGCAACAGTGAAGGCAGCTATCTTGCCCAGTGGTGAAGATAGCCTGCTGGTTCTGCACTGGCTAGATCGTGGTGCTGCCTGCAGTCTGGCCCGGCACAGTGGCAGACCTCCCAGGCCTCCACAGGGGGACATGGCGGGAATAAATGGAGAGAAAGAGAAACAGTAGCTGAGGGTGAGGACATCAACAAGTGACGTATGTCACAGGGAAATCCTTTATTACATTGACACCTGGGAAAAGATGCAGAGAAGAGATTCTGTTGTCTCTTGGCTCCATAATACCAGATGCTGGACCAGGTGGGGCCATGTATTGCTGAGTCCACTCCTGCATTTGGAACCTGACCTGACCTGAGTGGCCTTACCTGGGAGGCATTCTCATAGACATGGTGATGGGCTGGGGAGTTGTTAATGATGACGTAAGATCCTAGTAATTCACTGCTGTCTTTTGACCTTTTTTCACATGACCAAAATATATTTCTCCTATATAATTGGTCTTGGACCAAGGTTCCTGGCTCACCACCCCAAAATTCCTTGGGATTTCCTAAGTGTTGAGAGTGACAACAGCGTCTTTTGTTATGTTAATGGACTTAGGAAAGCACCTAAGAGTGGGGGCTATTTGCCAATGGAGCCAACCATAGGAGGGTTGGAATTTTCAATCCCACATCCTATTCTCCATGGAAGGAGAAGGGCTAGAGGTTGATGTAGTCAGCCATGCCCAATAACAAAGCCTTTGTAGAAACCAAAGAACAAGGTTGGAGAGCTTCCCCACTGCTGAATGCATGGAGATCTGGGGAGAGTATCGCTGTCTGAGAGAGAACCCTTCTCCACACCTTGCCCTATGCATATCTTCATTGGGCTGGTCCTGAGTTATATCCTTTCATAATAAACTGGAGATCCATTAAGTAAAATGTTTATCTGAGTTCTGGGAGCCATTCTAGCAAATTAATCTCGCCTGAGAGGAGGTGTTGTGGGTGCTGGGTTATAGCCGGTCAGTCAGTAACACAGGACTTGTGACTGGTGTCTGAAGGGTCCAGGCTTGTGGAAGTGAACCCTTAACCTGAGGAGTCTGACGCTGTCTCCAGGGAGGTTCTGTCAGACAGAGTTCAATTGCAGGATACTTTGCTGGTGTCTGAGAGTTGTTTGGTATTGCATGAGAAGTGTCCCCTCCCCTACCCCTCAACCCACACACTCACAGAACCTGGGATCAGGAGCCTAATTTATTGTATAACCATGTAAGGGAAAGCAAAGAAGGCCTCCTGTGTTGTTTTATTAGGTTTAAGGTTATCTTTTAAAAATATATATATTTATTGATTTCAGAGAGAAAGGGAGAGGGAGAGATAGAAACATCAGTGATGAGAGCGAACCATTGATCGGCTGCCTCCTGCATGCCCCCTATGGGGATTAAGCCCGAAACCGGGGCACGTGCCCTTGACTGGAATTGAACCCAGGACCCTTCAGTCTACAGGCTGATGCTCTATCCACTGAGCCAGACCACCTAGGGCTGAGATTATCTTTATTGATATACACAGATATTAGTGTACAATTTGCTGAATTTTTAACCAATGCATAAACCATGAGCCACCAAACACTTGAAGACATAAGCCTTTCCATCATTTTGTAACTGAACCTGGGTTTGGCTGCCTACTACAACAAACGCCAAACTCTTGAGACAGGTGCTGGTGAAAAAAGCAAGAGGCTTATTGGAGTGCCGGCATCTTGGGAAGATGGGGGGCTCTTCCCTGTCCTCAAAAACCCAGCTCATCAATGTCAGTGCAGGCAGAGGCTTGCATGAGAAGGAAGAGGAAATACAGAACAAAGAGGTGGGGGGTGGGGGCTGGGAAGAGGGAATATGGGAAAGGGAGAGGGCCAAGGGTGTGGAATCTGCTCTCTGAACTTCCTCCCCATGTCCTCTCTTCAGACAGGAATCTAGATTTACTGTGCATTTTCACAGCGGGCATGGAGCAGCCCTTTCTCCCCCAAAACAGACTTCTCTGAGCTGAAAAGAAGTCTAGGTAAGAAACAAAACACAGGGCTTTATTTGAGCATATGGGTTACTTGTGTGGATTACTGACTTACAGGTGCTCTTTTGTGCCTGGCTCTCTCTTATGTTTTTGAGATCCATACACATGGTTGCATGTCCCATAGTGTGCTGGGCTGCACATCTCGTGCTCTGGCCAGACGGGTTGCGCTGTGCTGTCTGTTCCTAAAACACATAAATAGGAAGGTACTGACATCAGGCCAGGCCTTGAGATATGGTCTCATGGCCCCTTCCCAGAATGCTGTACTCTCTGTTCCTAGAACACATAGATAGAAAGGTAGTCACTGTAATAATGCTGTACTGTGTCGGGAACTAAGGTTTTGTAACTTCATGATTTTTACAAATAAAAATGCTGTAACTCCTGTAATCTGCACTGCAATTCAGCCTCTGCTTCGGCAGGGTGCTGTAACTGTAGTCAGCTGGCCAGCTTAATAAAGGCTCTTAAATTTAAATTCTGAGTCAGTGGTCTATCTCGCTGAGTGAACCCATAACATTTGGAGGCCTCCAGTGAGATCCCCAGCAGGGTTGAGAGGGACCCCTTATTTAGGGCAGGATGCTCTCCCCCATTTATCACTGGGCACACAGCGAGATACCCCAAATCCCCGTGGGGAACGACTACCAAGGAGGCCTCCAGTCTCTGTCCCGGGTCCCAGGGAGACGGAGGAGACTCCACCCAAAACTTTCAATTTGGAAACCGAGCCACCTGGACTCTCGAGAGAGGTAAGGAAGACGGGTCATTAATATAGGCCCACGGAAGGGCCTATATGGAGGGCTGAACGCAGAAGTACTCCTGGTCCTGACCCACGGCCACGACGGTGGCCAGAGTCCCTGGTTTGTGCAATTTTAGGCTGCACCGGGTTTGTCTGTCTGATGTTTGTTGTCTGGTGTTTGTTGTCTTTGTTCTTTGTTATCTTTGTCTTTGTCAAAATGGGTCAGGGTCAGTCATCTTTGTCGACCCCCTATCAGTCTGGCCCACTCCAAGTGATTGGAAGGGGAGCTTGGTCACCTCCCGGGAAGCCATAGAGCTCCCTTAGGCAATTAGTCAGGAATTAGTTGGATTACTTAAACTCTGAGTAAACATTTGGTAGAAATCAAAAACTCGGACTGTCTGGTGTATGAATGTAACTGTGAGAGTCTGTATGAAGCGAAAGCTACTTTGTGTTGTCTGGCTGTACACATGAGAGTATTTGTTCTGTTGTTTAATCCTGATAGATTTACAGTAGGTCTCTGTTGGGGACAGCATCCGCTCTGACTGGGGGAGGAAGAGAGCCAAAAACTGCTCCAGAGATGGGTGTGAGATGGGGTAGTGCTGGTAGGATTCACTAGGTAGGGTAGTAGGCTCTCAGCCTGCTGAGATAGAGGAGCCCTAGGCTGGGGGATAGGAGGATGGTCAGAGAGATCAAAAATAGTAAAGGAGGAGAAGGATTTGAGTCTCTGGGACTTAAAGAAGGAAAAATCTAGGAGGGAGAGCAGCTAAGGACAGAGTAAATGGTTATTGCAGAAAAAAAAGAGGGGGGCCGTCGGCAGGGAAAGCAGAGCAGAAGTTTTGTTGATTTTTACTTATCTGAACTATGCTGGACTCAAGGCCGCAACCTGTGACTAAGCATAGTAAGTTTTTCTTTGCCCTGTTTTGTTCTCTTTAACCCCTCCAATACTTGAAATTGCATAAGGAAGGAAGCACCTGCTCTTAGTGATCTAAGAAATACTGGCTGTTACTTTATGGTAATCATTAAAGGATTGAGGTTTCTATGAATAAGGAATTACTGAGTAGAAGGTCTGAGGCATGGTTATGCATTTTTAAAGGACACAGGTAAAAACCTCAACTGTAGAAAACTGGGAAAGGCCTGTTTGGAATAAAAGGTCTGAGGCATGGTTATGCATAGAAGAGAAAGTTTAAAGGAATTTAATCAAAGTACAGGCCAGTAAGCCAGAGAGAGTAAACAATTTACATTCTGCCTCCCTAAACAGAGGGTAAATAGTTATGCCAAAGTACTTAGGGGGGACTGATAAAAGAAATCTAACAGTTACTGTTTTGTTATAACTCTGGAGAGTCCATAAAAAGGACTGACAAGGAAAATCAGAAGATCTTAAGGCAGGTCAGTGGCTTTTTCTCCTTATATAATTCCTCCAAAATTTGGCAATGTTAAATAAATCATGGCAATACACTTCTTTGCATAAATTCAATAAGACCGGTTTCCAATAGTGGTTTTGTTAACTGGAAACTTTGACTAGAGTATCATGTTTTAAGGAGCCCTGTTTGAGTTCTGAAAACTTGAAGCCAATAAGAGTGCCATGGGTCTTTTAGGAGGAGAACCAAGATGGCGGCATAGGTTAACACCAGAGTTTGCTGCCTCAAACAACCACTTCAAAAGTGAAACTAAAAGACGGAACGGACATCACCCAGAACCACAGGAACGCTGGCTGAGTGGAAGTCCTACAACTAGGAGGAAAGAGAAACGCATACCGACACTCAGAGGAGGCACAGTGATGAAGTCAAATACTGAGGTGTGGAGTGCATGCAGAGCGGGCTGGTGGCTGAGGGCGCGGTTGGCGTTTTCAATTGGGAGGGAGTCGCAGACTCTGAGCTCCAGATCCGGGCAAGTCTTTAGGGACCCAGACTCAAACGGAAGAAGCGGGACTGTCTGGCTTCGGTCAGAGCGAGTGCAGCTTTCTCTCCGAGTTTTGCAGCGGTTGCTGGGACTCAGAGAGGCAGAGCCCCTGGGGATGGGACTGAGAGCTGCCATAACTGCTCTCTCCAGCCCACCCTGTTGATCCTGTGCGACCCGCCCCACCCAAGCCCTGCACAGAGGCATTTGCCAGATAGCCTCAGGCAAAGGCTAGATTAGCACCTCCCTAGAGGACAGAAGTCCTCTCACTGCAGACACAGCTGATTCTCACAGCCAGTTGGCCTGGAGGTCAAATTCCCGGCAGTATTACCTACAACAATCTAGGCTTAACTACAACAAGACTGCACCTAAAGACCACTAGGGGTTGCACCAAGAAAGCATAAAAAATGCGGAGACAAAGAAACAGGATGCAGATGTCAGAAATGGAAGATATAGAGCTCAAAACCACACTTTTAAGGTCTTTCAATAATTTTCTAAAAACAGCCAGTAAATGTAGTGAGATCCTCAAGAAATCTAATGAGACCCTCAATGTTGTGATAAAGAATCAACTAGAAGTTAAGCATACACTGACTGAAATAAAGAATATTATACAGACACCCAACAGCAGACCAGAGGAGCGCAAGAATCAAGTCAAAGAATTGAAATGTGAAGAAGCAAAAAACACCCAACTGGAAAAGCAAAATGAAAAAAGAATCCGAAAATACGAAGATAGTGTAAGGAGCCTCTGGGACAGCTTCAAGCGTACCAACATCTGAATTATAGGGGTGCCAAAAGATGAGAGAGAGCAAGATATTGAAAACCTATTTGAAGAAATCATGACAGAAAATTTCCCCCACCTGGTGAAAGAAATAGACTTACAGGTCCAGGAAGCGCAGAGAACCCCAAACAAAAGGAATCCAAAGAGGACCACACCAAGACACATCATAATTAAAATACCAAGAGCAAAAGACAAAGAGAGAATCTTAAAAGCAGCAAGAGAAAGAAACTCAGTTACCTACAAGGGAATACCCATACGACTGTCAGCTGATTTCTCAACAGAAACTTTGCAGGCCAGAAGGGAGTGGCAAGAAATATTCAAAGTGATGAATACCAAGAACCTACAACCAAGATTACTTTATCCAGCAAAGCTATCATTCAGAAGTGAAGGTCAGATAAAGAGCTTCACAGATAAGGAAAAGCTAAAGGAGTTCACCACCACCAAACCAGGATTATATGAAATGCTGAAAGGTATCCTTTAAGAAGAGGAAGAGGAAGAAAAAGGTAAAGATACAAATTATGAACAACAAATATGCATCTATCAACAAGTGAATCTAAGAATCAAGTGAATAAATAATCTGATGAACAGAATGAACTGGTGATTATAATAGAATCAGGGACATAGAAAGGGAATGGACTGACTATTCTTGGGGGGGAAAGGGGTGTGGGAGATGCGGGAAGAGACTGGACAAAAATCGTGCACCTATGGATGAGGACAGTGGGTGTGGAGTGAGGGCGGAGGGTGGGGCGGGAACTGGGAGGAGAGGAGTTATGGTGGGGGGGAGAGGAACAAATGTAATAATCTGAACAATAAAGATTTAATTTAAAAAAAAAAGAGTGCCATGGAGAAAGCCTGGTATCCTGCTTGGTAGCCCTGAAAATAGCTGGCGCTGGAGCGTCAGGCCCATGCCCTACCAACACTGGCGGTTGGTCAGTGTAGAAGTGGAGCATGGAACTCCCACGCACTCTGGGCCACGACGAGTAGGAGGGCTACTGAGATGGGCCTTAAAGCAAGGACAATGGGCAGCAGATACTGCAGGCAGGCCTGATGGCAGCTGGATGGCTTGGCTTCCTGGCCCTATGGGGCACATTAAGATTCAATCATAAAATTCCAGCAAAGGTAGTCAGTTACCATTCTTGCTGTGTTTATGCAAACAATCAGGCCAAATTAAATACAATAGATAAATTGGTCTTGATTTGTTTTTGCTCTTTTAATAAACAGAAGAGATAATTTTAAGGAGAAAAACTCTATTTCAATAGAAGTTATTAAAACTGAAATGTTTTCTTTCCCTTCCACCAGACTATCTGTTGTAATTCTTGCTATTCTAATTGCTCAATAATACAGGGACTTTTTAACTTCAGCCAGGAAGGGCATGAAAAATAAGGAAGAAATTCTGACACGACTAGAAGCCATCTAGCTACCCAAGGTAATAGCATTAGTCCACTGTAAGGGACACCAGAAAAGGGCATC